AACAAAAATTGCAATTACAAAGGTCTTTAGATCCAGTTAAAAAAACGTTTGATATTGAATTTGAAAATCTGGGATTAGTTCTGCCGTCTGGTATTGAAATTATGAAGGTATAATAATTATAATAAATTTATAATGAATTTTTTTTTCATTTTTTATTTTTTATTTTTTTAAAATATATTTTATTTTTATTTTTTTAAAATATATTTTATTTTTATTTTTTTAAAATATATTTTATTTTTATTTTTTTTATTTTTATTTTTAATTTATTTTTTGAATATTTAATCACTTTTCCTTTAAAGGGAGTTACGGGAAAACTTTCACATGGAAGAACATGTGCAATTATGGGACCATCTGGTAAATTATTGACAAAAATATTGAAATCGATATGTTAATAGTGATATGGATTTATTTGTTTGCATTTAACATTAATACAGATGATTGAATGATTGCTAATTAGGTGCGGGTAAAACTACTTTTGTGTCACTTTTGACCGGCAAGGCAAAGCGAACAAGCGGCACAGTAAAAGGTAGTTTTTTTTTTTTAAAAAAAAAAAAACAAGATTTTTTGATTTTAGGAATTTTGATAATTATATTTATTTACGAGCTTATAAATAATTCATTGTAGTAAATGGCGTAGTTGAACCACTGGAGAAATATCGAAAACTTATTGGTTTCGTACCTCAAGAGGGTATGCATTCTATTTGTTTGAATTTTCAATTACTATATATATATATATTTTTAGTTTAATGTTTTAGTTTAATTAACTTTATAGATGTGATGCTTCGCGAATTAACTGTACGCGACATATTAGTGGTATGTTATTACGTAATACAATATTGACAATTTAATGATTTTATTTTGTATAAACGTTAAAGGCTATTTTATATATATTATTACAAATAATAGCATTCCGCATTAATGAGGTTACCAAATGATATGGATAGAGCAGTAAAGAAGCAAAAAGTCATTGAAGTGATTCAATTTTTAGAACTGAGTCATGTGATGGAATCGATAATCGGAAACGAAGGTAAAATAACAATTTAATTATTTTCGATATAATTAAATAAATTCAATAGTATATTTATAAAACTCGTCAATAGAACAACGTGGTATTTCTGGTGGTCAACGCAAACGTGTAAACATTGGAATGGAATTAGTTGCTGAGCCATCCGTGCTTTTTTTGGTAATAATTAATTCTCTCACTATTTAGATCTGGTATTTTTTTTTTTTACAGATGTAATCATTTTTAGGATGAGCCAACTTCAGGATTGGATTCAGCTACAGCACTTGAAGTATGTAATTTGTTGAAAACGATTGCACATAGTCAAGGATTAACAGTAGCCGCGGTTATTCATTCACCATCTCCACAAGCCTTTAAAACATTTGATGACTTTTTATTATTGGGCAAAGGGGGAAGGATTGTATATTTTGGACCGACAAATGAAGCATTGAAATATTTTGAGAGTCTTGGTTTCCGTTGTCCAGAAGAAGAAAAGTATTTGTCAATTAATTATCGTTACAAATAGAGATGGGAGTTTAGGTTTGGTTTGGTTTGGTTTGATTAAATTCTGATTATATGTAGTTAAAACCAAACTAAACCAAACTTTAAAGTCTTAAATAACCAGTTTAAAAATCTAATATAAACTGGTTTAGTTTATATAAACTAAATAAATATTGCATTTTTTTTATGTACCCTTGCATAATCATGCCTATTTATATACAAATATGCATGTTTATATGAGTTCATGCAGGGAGTACATATAAATATGCAATATTTATAATTTATATTTAAACTGGTTTAAATAGTTTTAAAAACCTAAATCAAGGTTTATAAAATAAACTATTTTTAAACAAGGTTAAACTGGTATTTAAAAAAACTTCCCTATCCCTAGTTACAATCATGAATAGTTTTTTAAAATATTATGTTTAATCCAAAACAAATATAGCCCAGCTGATTTTATGTTGGAAGTGGCAGCTGGAAAAGTCAAGCCAGTTGATCGACAAGACATTACAGTTCCTGATTTATTTGAAGCATGGGAGAGATATTGTGAAGCAGGAAAGGCAACATTTACACATGATACAAAACTTGGGATCCCTGATGATGAGCCCACTCATCGCAACTGTTTTAGACTACTTTATTCTGAAATCTGTTTACCATTTATTCACGTAATTCAAGATATTTGTGTATATACAGTAGATGTATCCATGGAGTTTTACTCGTTCCTTGAACGTACATTTTGCTTTTGTCGACGAGATCCAATTCGAGAAACACCCAATGTATTTGTTGCATTTATATTGTTATTTAAAAGAGCTTGTTTACAACTTTATAGAAACATAGTACAATTTTTGTTGGATCAACTATTACATCTTGGATGCGGAATTTTTATTTCTTTGGCAGTTAGCAATCTAACATACATTTGGAAGCCACCTAAAGAGGTATGCGAGATTACGCCATTTATTCTTATACCTATTTGTTTGCAAGCTAAGGATACACTTCAGGTAATTCTTTTTTTAAAATATATATTATTGCAAATTTTTATTCATAATTTTTTTCATGTTTTATTTATATATATATAATATATATATATATATTTTTTTTAGAACGTTGGAGTATTCATGTCACTCGGAGTGACATTTGCGGGGATTAGTGGTACGTAGAGTTAGGGTTGGCGCCTCAATTAATAAATCAAAACATAATCAGGGTAACATATAAAGATCATTAATTTCAGATTTTTTATGGGTTTGTATTTAAATATTAAACTAAATTTACATATTTTGGCACAAATATCTAACGAAAGTGCATATAATTTTTTTTATTTAATTTGAAGTTTTCGGCTAGTTCTACATGGTAATAGAGCTATTTTTTTTTTAAATAATTTTATATAAAAAAAAAATTGTAACAATTAATTAAATAATTAATAATCGAATAATTGAATGATTTTGATAAACTATTTTAAAAAAAATAGTTTTATTACCATGTAGAGCTAGTTGAGAGCTTCAAATTAAAAAATTTTTATGCTCTTTTGTTCTAAAAAATATAAATTTAGTTCTATAATTATTTTATAATCATCTATATATAACTTATAGTATAAATTGTCGAAAAAATTTAACAATAATATCATTAATAAATCCGAAATTAATGATCTTATGTTTGATTTTATTAGTTGAGGTGCAACCTAACGTAGAGTATCTTTATTTACTTAAAAAATACTTTGGGTAATTTATAAATTCATAATTTTCCTTTTTTTTTTCATACATAGCTGGAGGCTCAACATTTGGATATGAAAAAGTAGTTTATTGGCGAGACACATCAGCAGGAATGCATACAATTCCATATTTGCTAGCAAAAATAGTTGCAGATATTCCTCGATTAATCATTGCAGCACTTATGTTTTCATTAGCATTTATTATTTTTTATCCGTTTAGGGCCGAACTTTGGCAAATTTATATTATTGTTTTGTTTTTGTATGTCGCAGCGTGGGCGATGGGTAAGTTTCACCAAATTAAAACAAGTTGACAGACTTTCTTGAATAATTTTTTTTTGTGATTAACCTTTCGATTAGGGTATTTTGTATCAGGGTTGGTTTCAAAGGAGAAACTTAGTTTGGTTGGAACAGGGTTTGCTCTCGCTTGGGGTATGGTATTGAGTGGTGCAACACCTAAGTTGGAAGATGTTGAGTCAGGTGGTACATTTACCTATATAGGATGGTTATGGGATGTAAGTATTATACGTATATATATATATATATATATATATTGTTTTTGTTTTTTTACTTAAGCTATTTCATCTAGGTTTCAGCACAAAGGTGGGCAGTTGAAGCATTATATCTTAAAGAATTAGCGCCTAGAATGTAAGTATTATTTTAACATATTTTTTTTGAGTAATTGAATATATTCTAATTTGATGTTTTTACAGATGGAATGAAATTAAGAGCGAACAACTGGGACACACATACAGTTTTAGTGATTATCCACAATGTTTATGGAATATTTTATTTATTGCACTTGGATGGGTTACGCTTGCATTTTTTGCTATGAAGTTAACTAACAGAGATAAACAAAAATAAACTAATACGTAGAAACTAATAGAAAATAGAACAGTAATTGTGAAAAAGTAATAATAATAATTTATCATCATGAAGAACTTTTGGATTATAAACTTTTTTCACTAGATTAATGATTGATAAATTAAATATTAAATGAAAGTACAGAAGTAAATGAAAGATATAATTCATATTAAATATGAACTTTTTATTTTTGAGCTTTTTTGTTTTCAGCACAATTTTAACTATAATCAGTGAGAGTTTGGAAGCTTAATTACTAAATATAAGTTTAAACCTCTGGTTTCAATAAAAGAAAAATGAATAAATATTTCTAATAATCTTATTAACAAGTTAAACATTGAATGTATATGCTTGCTATTGCTACGTATAATTATTTAATAAATATATTTTTTTCTTATAATAAATTATTTTTTGTTATTTTAAAATTAAAAAAGTATCTAACATGATTTTTTTTTTTTCTCAACTCACGCCATATGGCGTTGTCCAACATGATTTATGGATGTTGTAAGTGGAAGCGGAATTAAGTAGAAACGGAATTTTATATAAACCCAGCATTTTGGGGTTGATTTTATCATATATCTGGTATATACCCTTACCCTAGCCCTAATTTAACATGGAAATCCCGAACCCACTTAATTCCATTCCTACTTACAACATATGTATGTATTAAATCAGAAGAATATATTCTGAAAAATAGTAATCAGAATCAAACGATTTTAAGCTCGCTGAGCCATGATGACGTCTATTTATTGAATCTGGCACGAATACACCCTGGAATTAATATCATGAGACTGCTACGTACAAATGCTAATAGATCTAATTAGTTTTAGTAAAAATATTAGTTCTAGTAGATATATTAGCTCTATTCAGATATATATATTAAGTAATACTAGATATATATTAGTTCTATTAGAGATAGTAGAAACACTAGATACAGTATAACTAGTAGATATGATAACAAGCCTCGATTTCTCTCTTATAAAAGCATAAGTCAACAATTCAACAATAAAGAAAGAGTAATTGTGTCTCCATACACGAATAATTCGAGTACTTTATTGAACAAATCATAAACCTGTTTACAAATCATAAACCTGTTTACAAATCATAAACCTGTTTACACTACTACTTGCCTCTTTCGTAATTGCAAATCACATAATCTGCCTAGAGCGTAACTGCAATAAACCCTATACGTTACTTAAGCATAACACGGTATTTGTTATAACAAATCCGTCGCTAAAGTAAGTTAGTTATACAGTACGTACGTACGCATTTCTTAAACATTTATTTTAAATCGAATATTCAAATTGTAGATATTTACTTTTATTATACCGTGTTAAGGGATGATGTTTTTTTTACGTGACTGTAAACGCGTTAATATGTTTATACATATATACGTATAAACCCCTCCATTCGTCTCGATTCGTTCTTCTCCTCATTGAGGCATGCATTTAGCGTATTTTTTGGGGGGTAAATACGGCATTAACTGAACAATTCCGCAGTCTTTCTGCAGGTATGCGGCTGATAAAGTTTTTAAGACGCACTGTTAGGTAAAGCACTACTTCGTTATTTATTATTACATTGTCTATGTGAACTGATAACGAAATTTATTTTTCTTAAGACATGACTTGGCAATATTTTAACATTGTTTACTCAGACTAGAATCATTAAGATTTTTAAGAGATGATAGAGTTTTATTTTAGACTATATATATTGAATATCAAGTAGATTTGACAAAGAATTTATGCTTTGAGTTTGACGTCCATAAAATTAAGGGGAAATTACATATAGGGGCCCGAAAAATGTAAATAATTACAAATAAGGACCCGAAGTGAAAATAAGGGTCAAATCTTGAAAAATTTACATTTAAGGGCCAAAATAACCTTGTATTATGATGATAATTTTTTAGAACGTTATCACTGTGTATACGTATTATTTTATACATTTTATATCGTTTAATGAAACCTTTTCTTAACCAAGATACAATTCAACTAGATCAAGCATGATATTTATTAATGTTTAACATAATTCCCCCTCTATTTGAGCCTTAGATGATACGGGGTAAATAACATCACTTTTAATATAAAAACTATGACTATTAAAAAGTCAATTATTATTGTTAAATCAAAGATCGTCTAGATCGTCTAAAGTGGATATAGGAATTTGATGATCGCCAGCGAAGCAAAACAAGAAAGCAAAAAACCTGAAACCTACCTTGGATGGGTTAAGTAAAAATGTCGGGAAGGCAATGTTGCATATATAACTACCTAAACCTAACCTAACCTAACCCTAAAGTTAGTTCAATAAAATATACAGTCTTCTCTCTTTATAATTACACAGTTGGGCCCTTATATGTAACTATTTTAACTTTGGGCCCTTATTTGTAATTATTATTTTCATTTTTTGGGCCCTTGTATGTAATTTCCTCTAAAATTAATTGTTCGATTATATGAATAGATGTATTGTTATTAAAGTTTACGAACGTTCTTCATATTATCTAATAAACTATTTGTATCTCCGCAAAGTTTAAGTGCGAATGCATACAAATACAAAAAAAACTATACGTATTCTCTTTTGATATTCTACAACCTAATAAATTATAAATATCTCCGATTTGTAATGAATCGATCATAATCGGATGATTTTTAATTTTAATCAACAGATCTAAGTTATATCTATATCGATATTGGATATTGTTTATTTACGTCAAAATCAGGTGGTTAAAAAAGAAATTGATATCGATATATAACAATAATAATAATAAAGTTAAAATGTGAGCTAGTACTTTATTATCACTACTGTACTATTGATTACGTATTTAATATCATTATTCCGACTCCACATAATTTTATGCAACTATTCAAAAGTACAATTTATTATCTAATAAACTTTGACTTTTTGATAAAAAGATTCATGATATCTTTAAGTCAATCAATATTTTTAAATCAAAGATTCAATTGAAGTACGAGAATGTGATGATGTCGTCATATATAATAAGTTAAGGATTATAAAGATAACTTTCTAAGCCTGCCTATTTCATTATAGAAAAACCATGATTTTGAGTTTTCTATATTTTACGGATTTTAAAGTCATCAAATTCCCATTTGGCGCATTTACATCTTCACAATACTATTTATTCAAATATCAATCAGTATTGTTTTTTTTTTTTTTAAATTTCTTTCTACGTGAAAAAATAATTGAAAAATAATTTTCGAAAATAATTAAAAAAAAATTAATTATTGATTCATTACAAACTTTACATGTCTGAAAAATTTTCTCTTCTTGTTATTTATTTTCAATTACTTCCACACAAGATAAGAAAATCCTTTATAAAATGTAAAAATAAAGTTAATAATATTGAGAAAATGAAACATTCTTATGAATGGATTAATGATGATGAATACGATGAACAGAATTTGGATTTTGATATAATATTTGATAATCCACATCCACATCTCATTCGTTTGTATAATGACTTTAATAATTGTTGTGACGACGAATATTCTAATGAGAATCGGAATAAGCAGGTTTATGTTTTTGATTTGATTTGTAATAATCTTTGATTTCTCATGATCTTTTGATTTCTAACGGTCTTTGATATAAATAGAATCAGAAAATATATGCCAAAAAGTCTCGAAAAGTTACTATCGAATCAAAGTTCTGAAGACATTAATTGACTGACTAATTGGCTGACTGATTGACTGACTGATTGACTGATTGACTGATTGTTTGAATGATCTTTTGATTGATCGTTTGACTGACGGTTCGATTGGAATCTGCAAAATTATAAAGATTTATCATTATTATCGTTATGTAAATATGTAAATATATATTTATTTATTCATTTTTATTATTACTAGTTACTAGTTTTCTTTTTTTTATAACTATGTACTGGGTTATAGGATTATTAAGGTGCTATATAATACTGTAATACTGTAATACTGTAATACTGTAATACTGTAGTAGTTTAAATTTTAGAAGAAAATATTATATTTTGCTACATTATTAAAATGTCTACAACCTTTATCTTTTAGTTGAATTATAATACTACTAGCCACTTCTTTGTTTTTCTAAAATTGTAAAAATACGATATACTAGACATAAAATGTATAATGTTGAACGCAATTCATGAGGCTGTAATTCTCAAAAGAATTCTCATACGGATTATTGCAGCAACCTTTGGGTTAAATTAAGAATTCTTATATGTATATACATATCTCAGCTTTATTTATAAAGCGGGTATAGTGAAAATGACTAACTCGGCTATGCATTTATTTCCATCTTTAATTTAAATCTTAATGTTATTTAAAAATGTATTTTTGAAATAAGAAAGTTTCAAACTTTTAACACACTAATATATATGAAAGTTTAACACCCTTAACAGTTAATAAATGTTATATTTGAAATACTGTTATTTTCACGTGGCTGAGTTATACTTTCGGAAGTATTACTTTCGGAAGTAATACCCTTTATATCTGTATATTATACCGATAGCGATAGCATAAACTTTTAAAGTCTGTGTCACACGTTATCATCTCTGTCTAAAATAGTTTACTGAGAGCTTGTAGGTTCAAAACATACAAGTCCACAAAAAAATTTTTTTTTTTTTTTTTTTGAATGAGCCAACTAAAACTTAAGAACTTGAATAACTCTGTTTAATGAGTTGGTGGTTTTTCCTTTTATTATATGATTCCTTTTGAAACAATATTGCTCAAAATAAATAATAGAAAAATCTCCGGTTTTATTCATAACTGTAATCCTTAAACTACTGCTTATTGCAGAATTCAGCACCGTATAAACGCGAAATAACCCCACCTGTGCGTTATTTCGAGTACGCCTATGTGCGCTATTTAGAGTACGCCCATGTACGTACGTTATTTCGGAATAAGGGGTGAACCTGGATGATTTACTTTAAATTTTTAGACTAAAACGCAGAAATCCCTGATACATATACTCGGTTTGTAGTTATTATAAACTGGGTATAAGCGGGTATAATCACTAATTCTATTGCTGTATTGTAATGCGCGTTAATTTGGGACACTATGTTTGATTTTCAAAATAACGTTATTTTGCGCTTATACGGTACGTAACCATGTTAAGAATCAAATTATTAATGATTATGTAACCTTAATGCAGAATAGGATATCAAGTTCTCTTTAAATGTGCGTACTGAACTGATTCAGTCCCAACATATTATAAAATTTATCACTTTTGTTCATAATTTATTCGGATTTCCCAAACGACCAAATTCTTTATTACTACTAAGGATGTAAAGTTTGTTAATCAACGATTTAGTTTACCATAGATTAATATAGGGTGCATTTTTAATTTGAGTCGAGTAAAGTATTCTCTTCTAGAATATTCGCTATTTATATATACTGTATTAGTTTGCGTGGCGCAAGAATATTAATATAACAATTGGCTTAAATACTGTATAAAATGGCAAACTGTATTAAATGTAAAACTTGGATTTAAAATTTGACCTTATAAAGGATGAATTATAAATGTAAAAACTAGCTAATTGAATAATAAAACTAGCTAATTGAAAAATAAAAAGATATTTACAAAAAGAATTTTTTATTTTATTTTATTTTATTTTATTTGTAAAATATCAAATGCAATGGTAGCAATAATAACAATTGAATTTTTTTTTTTTTTTTAAACTTATTAATTACATCAATTTTTTCATTATCTAATAAAAGATTTAATATACTTTTCATCTCCAGAAACGTATCAAAACCTACAAAAAAAATCAACTAATATCTAAAAATAATCCATCTCCAAACGGTGTTGATTCCGTATCATCCCCACTTTCTAAAGTCGATAAATTCCAATTTTGTTCAATAGTTGGTACAAAACCATAATGATCATATCGATCACTATCTTCATGTTTCAATGATTTCAATACATTTGGTCCTATAAGGACGGTATAAATATGATTATAGTTTGTTAAACTATCCAAATACTTGGATGATTCATCAAACGTTATAACTAGTAGTGTTCTAGAATTAATTAACAATGATTCAATTAATGGAATAAATGTTTCATTCAAGTATCTGCTGGCAAATTTTACGTTCGTTTCATGTCCACTATTGACTACATTAGGTCTAATTAACATTGTAAGAAATTATTAGATGAATTTATAAAAAGCATCTCTATCTATCATATTATTTAAACTTACGAATAAAAAACATATTGTGGAACAGTTCCACGCTCAATATCTTTTTTCAATGTATCTGCATTCACTATGTAAATATATCTTGAAGAATTCGTTCGAATTTGATTCATTGAAATAAATGGATTATGCTTCCGGACATAAAGTTTATCAAAAGAATGACTATCGCTAAATCCATTCCCTAATTCATCATAAACATAGATATTAATAAAGTATTGTTATTTTTACGAAATTAGAAAAATACAAAACAAATAAACTGATAATCGATAAGAAAAATCATCAGGATAGTTTACCAGGATAATTTTCATATAGGACAATAAAAATAACCCATATGGGCTAATCGGCAAATATTGTGCCCTGAACGGTATCTGAAATTCCAATTTAATAAAAAAACTTTACTTGCGGATTATATGAATTTAGTTGCTCATATGAACATATTTATATGCAAATTCGAACATGTCTAT